AATCCTGGGAAAACACATATCAATAAAATATAGAAAAAACGAACACCAGGATAAAAATAAAACAAACCTGTTTAATACAAACAAGTTTGTAAGTAAAAGAATTACCAGCCCGACTGCCAACGTCATGAGGGTTGGAATGCTAGGTGATTAGGAAGCTTGCCTATATAGCTACCTGTCTCTGCACCCGGCTTCTCAAGCGCATAATCGGCCCATTAGTTGTATTACTCTGCAACGTGCTAAGTTGATTCACATCCGGCAGCCTGTTGGTGGACCCAGCGGTTATGCCCAGATCCTCCATTACTTTTCTAGCGCACGTGCAAGTGCCTGGGGGATGGCTGTTAAGCTGTTTCGGCCCCCTATTTCTCCCCCCTCTCATTTTGGAGCGATCTGCATTTCAAACGCCCTGTAGGGCTGTCATCTTCCCCTATGGCTGCCATTGTCTTGCCCATAGTTCTCTCTCCCCAATCCTGCAAGGAGCAGCTATTAAGATCTTCCTGCTCACTATTCTCCCCCCTTTTTGTCTCTCCTTCCGAGCTGCTTCCGTGTGTCCGTTTTCCACACCTGATCTTGACACATCGTTAGTTTCTCATCCCCTCCCATAGCAGCTGTTACTGCCTCACCCATAGCCCTGTCACTCCAGTCTTGCCTGTTGCTATCTCATTGTAATGTTCCCTGCCCCCCCTCTTTTTCTGGTTTGCTGTCTTCCCCAGGAATCACAGTTTCCCCATTTGTAAAATCATGATCTTGCTTTTGCACTATGAGGGATGGCCATCTACTCTGTGGATTGCAACGTTGACTCTCCCACTTTCTAAGGGTCTGGTATGCCGGTAGGAGGTCTATGTGCCGGTTGATGGAGTTTTCATTCGAAAGCCAGGCTTCTTTAAAAAGGCGGCTACCCTTGGTGGTCTCATGAGATATGGCCTGTGCATTTTCCAGATCGAATGTATGGTCCAGGTTGGCCATGTGGGTCCACACTTGTGAGCGCTGCTCCTGCCTTTTAATTGCCAGTTCATGTTCATGGACCCTAGTCCTGAGCCTTTTGGCTGTTTCCCCAACGTAATTGCAGGGGCAGTTCCTGCAGTTGATTCTATAAACTATAGAAGATTGCTCGCCATTGGGGAGCAGCTCTTTAGGACGCATGATTTTAGTTCTAAGGGTCTGCTCTGGCCTATGGGCAACGCTCACATTGTGGGGAGCCAATAACCATGCTGTGGCTTTGGAAACACCACAGATGTAAGGTAAGGTTATCCATGTGGCCGGTGTCATTACTCCGGAGGACTGGGCCCTATGCAATTGACGTGGTCCGCTATAACGGCTCACAAATTCCGTGGGGTAGCCACTGAGATATAGATGTTTTCTCTCTTCAATTTTGGCTCTAACCGTGCTACAGTGGGAATCGATCCATTTGAATAAAGTCCTAATTCAAGTAATTTTGTGCGCTACAGGATGATTACTCCTGTAGTGCAGCGTTCTTTCCATATGAGTAGGTTTACGATAGACAGATGTACATAATGTACGGTTAGGATGTCGACTGACTAGTACATCTAAAAAGGCAAGGGTGCCTTGGGTCTCTTCCTCTGTCGTAAACTGGATGTCCAGATATACGAAGTTCAACTGCTCCAGGAATTTGATGCTGTCTCGTTTTTTGATAATAACAAAAGTATCATCCACATAGCTTATCCAAAATTTAGGGCGATACCTAGCCATTACTATCGTCTCTAACCGCTGTAGCACCACCTCTGAAATAATGCTTGAGATGGGAGATCCCATCGGCATCCCTTTTATTTGTTCATATATAGTGCTTTGAAGGCATAGGGATAACAGCTGTATCAGGTCATTGGTGTTGAGAAGATCCGGGTGTTGTTCCTGCTCCTCCCGTAGGCGGTCCTTTATTACCAAGACTGCCAGATCTTGGGGGATAGAGGTAAAGAGTGAGGTAACGTCAAATGAGATCATTACCTCATCCTCCTCTATCATTAAGGGCTTTGATCTTTCTAGGAACTCTTCAGCGGATTTTACTATAGTCTCGTTGTTATTGACTAGGTGTATCTATATTGTAGCATTGTTATTGACTAGGTGTATCTATATTGTAGCGCAGTGGCCCCCAACCTTTTAGGCACCAGGGACTGGTTCCATGGAGAGAGGTTTTTCCTCGGAGCAAAGGGAGCATGGTTTCATGTGCTGCCTACATCCCACAGATGGGGCTTCACCAGTTTCTGGCATCCTGTGGACCGGGACCAGGTCTATGGACTGGGGGTTGGGGACCCCTGCTATAGCACAGACTCATTTGGCGGACTGGAGGGAAAGGGAGCAGGAAGCATTTTACACATGCACAGGGCCGCACACACACGCACGCTGCAAATGGGGCAGGGCTAGCATCCGTGTGATACTAAGCCTGCCCCATTCTTGTATGGCGTAGCACCGTTTTTGCACCTTGCAGCGCGGTGGCGGCCCGTTTTCACGCCCTGTGGCGCAGCAGCACCCATTTTTGTGTCCCTCAGTGCAGCAGTGCCCATTTTTGTGCAGCGGGGCAGCGGCCCATTTTCACACCCCGCAACCACATCGCTAGCGCAAGTGAGGCAGTGTGCACGCACACACGCATGCACTGGCCAGCCTGTCCCACAGCCCACAAGTTGGGGATCCCTGCTGTAGCGGGAAAATGGAGGCTTCAGTAGATTTAATACATAGCATATATTCCAGGCAAAACAGCTCCATTACTCAAGAGTAATAAACCAGTAATAGCTTCTCCATTTTTAAAAATAGAGGTGTCAGGTATTGAATCTGGTTCTCAAGAAAATATGGTCAGTCACCCATACAGCCAAATTCATCCGTTGCCTAATGAGACACAATTCAAAATGCCAGAAGGAATGTTAGTTATGATTTGTATGTTGTCTTAGGCACGGTAAATCTCTTGGAGAAACTAGGCATATGCTTTAACAGCTTTTTTAATTTCAAGATGAATCATCAAGCTCAACAGACTAAAAGAGTTTTCAGTGTTTGCATTTCCGAACAACTATAATAGCATAAAAGTCTAAATTCACATGTGTAAAGTTTTAAGTCTGGAGGCACTTTTTAAAATCTCGTGCACACCAATGGATATTTTTTCACCAAGATATGAAGCAAATTGAATTGAGCCACTGTTATTCTGTTGGATTTTATTTTTCTACTTCTTTTTTGCTTGATAGATATTAGGGTATCTACTAAAAGAACCATATATTTAGTCAGGCATTGCTAACTTAGGTTTCTGATGGATTCTTTTGCTTTGTCTTCACCACTTTATTGCTACTAACTTTCTTTAGACCCTGCAGAGCAGAAAAAACATGCTGAGATTCCTACAGCTCTGCAAGCAAACCAATACATTCAGGATTACTAATCAAAACAGCAGCTTCTGCAAGGAAGGATAAAATGGCCTTTTCAAATGTTGTCAACTCTTAATTTTCTTGAGATTCAGGCTAAGGGCAAATGCAAAAGAAAGTGAGGGTCACATTTTGACTTTGCATAACATAACAAAGCATTTTGGAACAGTAGCAAGGCAAGTGCCTAGAAATATTTGGGGTAGATTTCTAGAAACTGTGAAGTACCAAGTCACTCCCAACTACCTATGTGGCCTCAGCACATTGAAGTGTGGTAAAGCATTACACATTTGCCTTTCTATTGTTCCAAAATGTGGCATTCCAGAACTCATCACTGGCCTAGTATGCCTGCCTCAAAAAAGAAGCACAAGTAGATCTTTGTCCCTAAATTCAACTTAATTAAGCTAAACAAATTGACTAAACAGTGAAAACTATAAAAAGTTCTATGACATTTGGTAAAATAGCAGTGATTTCCTGGAGTACACATTTATATTTATTTGTTAAATATGTATACATCCATCTCATCAAGAGGCGACTCTATGTGGCTTACAACCAAGTAAGACAAGATAAAATATTAAAATAAATATTAACATTACAATTGACTACATTTGAATCACTTCATTTGAATTTGTACAGCATTATCCTTGCAAGAGAATACATTGTTGTATCAAATTCATTGGAGCAGAGGTGAAAATAGTAAAAGGTGATGATTGGTGAAATTAAATTTAAGAGATTAGCCAAAGATGACTAGATATAGATAGTAATTATTCATAGAATGTTAGGTAATTTAACAGACTTTTGAATCCAAATCATTTATTTGAACACTTACCTGTACCATCTCCTTGTACATTCAAAAAATGCAAGCCTCTTGATCAACCAACCTCAGTAAAGCTATTAATTTTACCTTTTGCTCTGGTTCATAGTGAATTGTGCTGCCAATTTTAAAAAATTCTGAATTAGAATTTCCAGTCTGCAGAAAATCAGAGATTTGATCTATCAGGAAGCGTGGCATGTCAAGTAAAAACAAATTGTGCTAGATTTCTCCTGATTATTTGGGCATATCCATGGAATTTTCTTTGCAATAGTACTGCTAAGCTTACCATTGCTTTATTTCAAAATGTTTCTTCAACTTTTCAGTCTGACCTTCAGGAATGGAATATTTTAATGATCTCCCACTTAAGTATTAACCAAGTTAATTTTTTAAGATGAGCAATGTGGGACAAGGGCCTCTAGCAGAAACACTTCCTTCTTCTCTGTCTGCAGTTTCAGTTCCATATCTGTATATACTAGCAAGCCTAATTTCTGCCCAGCTCTGCTATTCCTTACTTACTTCGCGCTAACAGCAAAATCTGGGTCTTTCTCTAAAATGCTTGGCTCAAATTAGTTTTTCAACCGTCACTCCCTAGGACTGCAGCACAAACGATGCACATTGTGATCGTTAGGGAGGCCAGTAACTAAGGACAAATCCCTTCTTGACAATAACAAGCTGAACGGAAGAGGAAGCTTCACCGGCTGAACTCCTGCCTGCTTTCAGTTAAAGCGCACAGCCTCCGCTCCTCTTCCGAAAAGACTCTTCTGCCGCCTAATCTGCTCGCAAAGCATCCCTTGACTTCCAGTGAGGGAGGGAGGGGGGGAAAGAGAGGACAAAGTCACGAGCTTTACACACACACCCCCCCACGGTCGTTGCTGAGAAGGCGGCTTGGAAGACTTGGGCGCCCTTGTCAGCGCAGCCGATTGTCAGCTGATCAATGGCGGTCATGTGACGTGCCGAGGAGGAAATGCACCAGAGCCGCTACAGGGGATAGTTGGGGCTGCCTGCTTACTTGAGACGGCAGGCAGCAGCGATGGCCTGGACGAGGTACCAGATGTGCTTGGCGGCGCTTATGCTGATCACCGGCTCCATCAACACGCTTTCCGCGAAGTAAGTCGGGGTGGGACGTGAGGAGGCAGCCCAGACAGCGTCTCGTCCTTTCTGCCCGCGTTGGCTCGGGGTGGGGAATAGGGAGAGATGGAACTTGGAAAGAGCAGCTGCCGTTAAAAAAAAAAAAAAAAAAGCAATTGGGGCAGCCCAAAGAGCGACCGAGGTTTGCGAAAGGAGTGTAAGGAATGGCGGGGGGGGTGGGGGGGATGGAGAGAATAGTCTGTGATGATCTCACTGAGATCCTCCATTCTTCCAAAACATGGAGGGGAAAGGATTTCTCTTTCAGCTTCATCACTCATGATGATACTACCTAGTTTGGATAATGAAAGGTTTGCAAGAAAACAACCAAGCTCACAGAACACCAAGGACCCCTCATTTCAACCCTGAACTACAAATATTCTCTTTTAAGAGTCTCTTACCATGCTTTTGTGTACTTGCTTGAATGCCAATTTTTTCCCCAGAATAATTGGGATCTGTTGAGCAGGTTAGCTAGACATTAATTGCAGTTTTCAGAGTTGGGGGGGGGGCGTTCATATAATGGATTAACCTAAAGATTATCAACCCACAGTTGCTAGGTTCTCATACTTGATATGCCCCCCAAATAAGTTATATTATGGCTTACTGTGATGGTACCATACTGGTACTGTATGGGTTCCCATTGAATTAGAGTTACTTAACCCCATTACATTATAGCCATTATGTGAACTGAGCCAGTATGTTTCCAGTTGCTGGGAAATGCCAACAGGATATCATTTTATTGTAAGCTGCCCAAAGTAACTTAGGTGAATAAATAAATAAAATCAAGCTTCAGAACTTACATCATGTTTAATAGCTTCTGAGAGATAACTTTTGCTCATTGTGAAACTGAACTGAAGGACTTTGATCCTGCACAGTTCTTCTGAGGGTCCTATCACAATTTTACACATTGTGCTGAAGTCAGGCCTCTTTCACCAGGGCTAGTAGAATAATCCACATCAGTTGACTTCACACAGCATGCTTTGCTGTACACCTTGATTGACAAATCACAATTGCTGGGATTAGATATCAGGCTAGAAGCAAAAAAAAAAAAAAAAGGCAATTCAGGAAGATAAATAAGCCCTTCCACTTAACCTTACTGTGGTATCTGCTTTAACTGGCCAAAGTATATTTTAACAGATGCAAATACGGTAACTGCGAAACTAGGTTGACAAGCATACACAAATAGGAAAGGGGGGGGCTCAGTTCTCAAGAAGCTCATTTTCTCCTTCCTGCTTCCATTATTGGACATGAGGAAAATATCCTGGAGATATTAAGGGCCCCCAGTTTCCTGGAAGGATTTCTCTTTCAGCTTCATCACCCATTTTTCTCTTTGGTTGCTTTGCCTATTCTGTCTGAAACAAGGGGATTGCTGCTGCAGATAAGATAGAGGAGAGAGCAGATCTCAAGACTGAGAAGGTAGCCAACTGTTGATCAATGACCATTCTTATCATTTGTTTATAGCACTTCAAGATTGTTATCAGAATTGCAGTGGAAAAAGAAACATACACTGAATTGACACCTCTTTGAATGAAGAGGAATGTAGTGAAGTCTGATTTATTCAGAGAAACAAAAATGTAATAAATATTGTGGTAGATTCTGAATGGAAATGAATATATATTTCAGCAATAGATACTTGCTTCATTTTTTCTAGTATAAAATATCTGCCAACAATTTATGCTTTTTCACTGTCTCCAATTTTGGTGTGTAAAGTATATTCTATTTCTTTTCAACCTTTGTATAACATTCCTTAAATGTCAGGGTAGAACTATTCTTCAGATACTTCTGTTGGTACATAAAGTCGGACAAATGAAACATTCAAAGATTTAGTTTGGATTAGATCAGCTATTATTTTTGTATTTAGTGCTTTGAAGCTGTCAACTGATTCATGATTTTTATTTGTTATCAGTGCTTCTGATGGTGTCACTTCCAGAACAATACTGCATAAACTCATCTGACCAAAAATTATCTCAGTGATGCTAGGAATGCCTATTTGATCATTGTCATTTCTTTCTTGATGTCTAGCTTTGCATGGTTCATGCTTGAGACACTCCACATCTCAATTCTGTTCATTTTCTTCCATGTAGATGGTTCTTTTTATCATAGTCAGTATTCACTCTCCTCAAATATTTCTCTTTCTACATCATTTCCTAGTTTGCTCATAGCACATTGTTGTTCTTCCCAGCTAGCATGTTTGATATTTTTTTGCCTGGGAATAGATCGTAAGGTATTTTCCAGCTCTCCCTTGGAATCAACATACTATATAGATGTAATAGTAATAGTAGTAAAGTTGGAAGGGACCTTGGAGGTCATCTAGTCCAACCCCCTGCTCAGGCAGGAAACCCTACACCATTTCGGACAAATGGCTGTCCAGTCTCTTCTTAAAAACTTCCAGTGTTGGAGCATTTACTGCTTCTGGAGGCAGGCTGTTCCACTGATTAATTGTTCTCACTGTCAGGAAGTTTCTCCTTAGTTCTAGGTTGCTTCTCTCCTTGATTAGTTTCCACCCGTTGCTTCTTGTCCTGCCTTCAGGTGCTTTGGAAAATAGCTTAATTCCCTCTTCTTTATGGCAGCCCCTGAGATATTGGAATACTGCTATCATGTCCCCCCTTGTCCTTCTCTTCGTTAAACTAGACATACCCAATTCTCGCAACCGTTCCTTATATGTTTTAGCCTCCAGTCCCCTAATCATCTTTGTTGCTCTTCTCTGTACTCTTTCTAGAGTCTCAACATCTTTTTTACATCGTGGTGACCAAAACTGGATGCAGTATTCCAAGTGTGGCCTTACCAAGGCATTGAAGAGTGGTATTAATACTTCACATGATCTTGATTCTATCCCTCTGTTAATGCAGCCTAGCACTGTGTTGGCCTTTTTGGCAGCTGCAGCACACTGCTGGCTCATATTTAGGTGTTTACAATTAATATGTCTGGATTCCCCAACCTAGTGTCCTCCAAATGGATTGGGTTTAAATTTATATAAACCAGCCAACTTAGCCAAATACAGCTGCATGAAGACATCCAGTTGGGAAAAATTGCCTGAGTCTGAGGCTTCTGTTCTTATAATACCTGGTTGCATTTCTTCTACCTATAGGTTTCCTCTGATGGTTGTAAACATTGAAGAATCTGTGTAACCCTTAGGAGTGTAGCTATATTCCTGATTCTTCCAAATTTCATCAGCTAAATCTCTGCCACAGATTTGTTTTGACTTTTTCCAAGCTCTACTGCTGAGTAAGCAAACTTGAAAGATGACAAGTAATGACATTTGGGGGGAGCATATCTGTGCTCTAAAATTTTCCTAGTTTATTGAAAGAAACCTGTGGGTGTAGCTGCTTTAAACGTGTTTGCACGTGTTGTATTATAGTATTTTTAAACTCATATGATTTGTGAATGATTACACAGCCTTGTCCAAGGATTGTTACGAGGCTTAGATGGAAGCCTCGTAGGAAGAGCAGGACAATTATGTCTGAGTGTGGCTAAATTTGGAAATGGATGACATATAAATCTGTAATAAATAATAAATAGTTGGCCAGATTTGGTTTTGCCTCTATTCCATCAGCTTGCTGGTACATACTGGCAAGATGGAGAGAGCTGGTGGTTCAGGGACTTTACTTTTACAAGTTCTCAAAACTTCAGTAGTTCCCAACAGTCAGATTGCCCCTTACTCCCAACTTTTTCAGGTCCCTCCTCATAATAAAATTCTGAATGTAGCCTTTGCCATCATTCCTTATGTTACTGCATTTTGTATCTCATTTTGTTGTCTTCTACATGTTGAAATATGGCCCAAGCAAGCCATATTGTGGTTGATATAGGAATGGGTAAAATTTCAAGGTTTTGCTCAGCTATTCGGTTTCTTGACTTTCTGGTGACATCATTAGAGGGTTTTTTTTACTTCTATGGAAGTAGGTATTAGATTGGGTGAATGAGATTTCATCCCGGCCTTACCCTTAAAATTCCATCTCAGAAGAAGTCTGAAATGGTACCACAGAGATTCAGCCATTATGCTTAATACTGTGGCCTAATTCACACAACAATCTAAAAAAAATGGTAGTGACTTATGTTGAATCTAGAACTATCTAAATTGATGTTGTCAGTACTGACTGTCAGAGAGGCTTTTCACATTTCCAGACATAAAATTTGCTCTACTCATCCTGGAGCTGCTGAGGATTTATTTTACACGCAGAGTAGTTATGCTACTAAGCTATGCTCTTTCCTCTGATCTAGCTTTTCTATTGTGAACTAAAAGCTCTTATAGCCACTCCATCTGATATGAAGACTTTCTAATCTCAGCAGGCCACAAATACCCTTTTCAGATGTGGTTTTGCTTGCAACTGCACAGATAGCTGACCCATCACCTACTCTGTTGTAGTGTAGCATTCTTTATCCCATCAACTCTTTCTTGGGTTATTAATAATATTCCACCAATACTATGGGGAGGGAGCTCTTTGCATTATGATCCCTTTTGGGGCTTCTAAAGCTTAACAAGATCCTGTTGCTATATTTTGTAAGCAACCTAACAGTGGCAAGCATTGTTTCTCGCCCATTTTTGGCAAAAAGATAAAAATATCCCTGTCAAAACAGGTAAAAATACCCTCCAATTCAACCATACCTTCCATCATCGGCATTACTGAAAAGTTGCAGTGTAAAAACTCTTAGCTGCCCGGCCCCACTTGCCCACAGGCCTAATCCCCATCAATATATGTTTAGCAATAGTGACTGTGTACCTACTATATCATGTAATTATTGGGTGTCTTTTTGTTCCACCAAATGTTACTTTTGGCATAGGTGAATGTCAGTCTTGACACCTGAACTGTGAAAGATCTGTTCTTGTGTTACTTTGTCTACTATACCAGAGTTTCCAATTACAGCAACCAGATTTGGCCTGGTGTCAGCAAATAAACTCTTTGCAATTTTGTTAGCAGTTAGATATCTAAGCTGGGGACATGTCCAGGCAAAGGAATGTATCACAGAGCAATTTTTCCCTTAGAAGTTGAGCAAAGCCAATAAGCTGGCTACGCTTAATTTATTGTTATGCTTTCCCTAGTCATTTTCTTCAAATGTGTTGAGCTGTGCTTGGAGAAGGCTCTTTAAGGAGTAGTTCTTCCCTTGTCTTTCAACTTGGCCTTGCTAGCAGAGTACTCATCTTCTTCAACATCTGAATGAAAACGACCATTACCAACTGCCATCATCACATCTATTAGAAAGGCAGTTTTGGCTTGAAGTGAGAAAGAGAGGGGCATTCTCAAATTGCTTTTACAGGAGTTGAGAGCCATCCTGAGCAATATTATAGAAACGTTTTGGCAAATATTGGTTTATTAGATCTCCACTTATAAGTGGGGCCTCTTCTAATACCTTACTTACATGAGATACCCATCTGTAGGACAAGTTTCTGTATATTTAAACTCTCAGATCCCCAGTGTGGCTCCCACAGGTAGGGTTCATCCTTCAAGAGGTGTGGATGACAGAATGGCAGGTAGAAATCTAATGAATCAGTGATTTCTAGCAGATTCTCCATGTGATGAATGGACTAGTCTCCATTACCATTTTGCACAAGCTTTTACAACAATGTTTCACATCCCCAGATGCCAAAATGTGATGTAAATCCAAAGGTTGGGGACATGTATTCTAACTGAGGCCTCACTCCTTCCTTTCAGGTGGGCTGACAAGCTGAAGGCACCGGGCTGCCATGGAATAGAACCACACAATTTCCAGCATCCCTTTGTACAGGTAACATTGGCAAGATTCTGCACTATTTTGTTTCATTATATCTAAACCACTTAAGTCACATGATGGCTGGGGGATTCTGGGAGTTGAATTCCATACAATTTAAAATTGCTAAGGTTAAGAAACAGTGGGCCAAACTGATTTCTGTGATGCTAAGGGCAGAGGTTTTTCAGATTCTGCATTCACAAAATCTCCGTATTCTTTTTTGCTTTTGTTTTCCCGTTATGTGACAAATCTGCATGTACGCCAGGGACTATTGCTGTGGGTGCTGCTGCCCTTAAATACACATAACCAGTTCGTTACTTGCGATCCTGGGCAATAGTTATGCCAGTATTTCTCAAGATGAGAGAACATGGAGATATAATCAAGCCAGATATAGAGTATTTTGATAGGTATAACTCAAGCTCTTAGTGGAGGTTTTCACATGCAAAAAAAAAAATCATATTGAGTTGAAGTTCTGGTAATTATTTCAAGCACATCAGTACAGTTTTCCTGGCAACAATGCCAATGGTGGACCATTGTCTTCTTAGATATTCTTTCAACTCATCTACAGTCCTGGGATTTCCTATGGGTTTCCCATCCATCTTATAACTACATCTAATCCTGCTTAGCCTCCAAAGCCAGTTAGGATTGAAGCGATGCTGCCATCTACTGAGGCTTTCAGAGAAAACACAGTTGAAATGGTCATGAATATACACTGAAAAATCGGAATCCTTGGTACAAACCAACTTGGTAATATGTCCAAGTTCTGCCAGGAGATTGAGAGACGTTGGTGGCTTTTAGTGGGTGTTTGCTATCCATGACAATCCAGAACTTTGACAGCCTTTTGGTTTGCATTTCAGGCTGTGGGCATGTTTCTGGGGGAATTTTCCTGCCTGGCTGTCTTCTATCTCCTGCTCTGCAGTGACCGGAGGAGGCCAGAACCCACCATGACACCTCCTCAGCCATTTAACAGATTGCTTTTCCTGCCTCCAGCACTATGTGATATGACAGGGACTAGCCTCATGTATGTGGGTAAGTGTGTATACAGATGGGTGCATAAAATAGCCATAGCAATAGCACTTAGACTGATATACTGCTCCATAGCTTTACAGCACTCTCTGAGCAGTTTACAATGTCAGCATATTACCCCCAACAATCTGGCTCCTCATTTTACCGACCTTGGAAGGATGGACGTCTGAGTCAACCGGTTAGGATCGAACTCCTGGCTGTAGGCAGAATTAGCCTGCAATATTGTATTTTAACCATTGTGCCACTAGGGCTCCAGTAAAAAATCCAGTAAAAGAGTGGGGGAGGGGGAGGTTTGCTAAGAATATGATACTTTTGAGGAGTTTAACTCTGGCCTTGAGAAAGAGGAGGGAGAGAAAAAAACAGTTGATCAGCCCTGGGAAAGTGAAAAGCATAAGAGGCTCAGAATGACCCTGCCTTGACCTTGTCCTTAAAAGGAGTCAAGGGGCAAGTGTACAGATTTTCAGGATTATTTATTATAGCCTACAAAAATAAAGTTAAATCCCTGAAGTTTCTGTTCCTTGCTTCTTGCCTGTCTGAAAGGACTGAGGAACACCTTCCTCTCCCTCTGTCTGTTTGAAAAATGCAATCATACAGTACTTCCATTCAGAAGCAACTGTTTTTAACACAATAGGAAAAGCAAGCCATTCAGAATAAGTAAATAGTTTACATCTGATGAAACCGAGTATGTAAAGAATGGCAAATAATGTTTTGGGATGTGGGCACAACTCTTGATATAACCACCTACCAAGTTGGGGAAACAGAATAAAAGGATTTCACTCATGGAAGCACTATTTACTCTGTAGTATACAATCCCTTTGTCATCATTTTTCTTGTCCTGCTCTTCCCTCTGGAGTAAAATCTCTTGGCACTCTATAATGTCTGAAAAGAAAGGGGGACAACGTAAGTTCTTCTATTTTGAGCATCAGTTCATGCTATCATTACCCCAATTTCCAGTTGTTGTTTGTCTCTCCTCCTCCAATCATCATTCTTCCCTCTTTCCCCACTACCCATTTTTGCCATTCCAGCTCTGAACATGACCAGTGCTTCTAGCTTTCAGATGTTGCGTGGAGCTGTGATCATCTTTACTGGCCTTCTCTCAGTAGCCTTCCTGGGGAGAAAGCTGGTACTGAACCAATGGCTGGGCATCCTGATCACCATTGTAGGGCTGGTGGTGGTTGGCCTGGCAGATTTGCTGAGCAGTCATGATGAAAGTCACAAACTCAGTGAGATCATCACAGGTATGTAGGAAGTGTGTTCTAAGGCCAGTGGCCCTTGCAGGTTTACTGGAGAGTGGTTTCCTTTGCAGTTCATGCTCTTTATCTTCAAAGATCACAGGCTTACTTTCCTGTCCGATGTCCTCAAACATATAAGCAATTGTACAGCCATGCTATGCTCTTTTTCATTAACATTGTGATGCTTAGCTTAAAAACATTTCTCTTCTTCTCCAATCCAAATATCTTAGAAAGCAGTGTCCCCATACTTTCTGTTTTAGATTTCATCACTCTGATTCAGAGGTCCAACACATAGTGCAGGAATCCATCCCCCAGAATTTAACTGACCAAGAAATACCAATGTTCTGGTCTAACACATCTGGAGAGCTGTTGGGGGGAGATATATGTTGTAAATAGCACCCAAAAAATAACATACTGCACCTCTAGCATTTGAATTTATATAAAAGCAAAAGATAAAATCAATACCTTATCCAGGATGTTATCAATCATTATCTACTAATGGTCTTTCTAGGGCAGTGATGGCGAACCTTTTAGAGACCGAGTGCCCCAAAACTGGCCCCGCCCCCACTCCACCCCCTGCCCCGCCCCCACGCTGCCTGCCCGCAGGGCCACTCACCACCTCCAGGGTCCGCCGATCGCCCAGGCAGCCCAGCAGCGCCATGGTGGCCACGCCCTCTGCCCGCACCCCGCAGCATCAACTGTGCGCAATGGGGCGTGAGGGCAGAGTCTTGTCTACGCTGCCTGGCTGCCATGTCCTTGGCTGTGCTGCTCCGCGTGGACCACGCTCAGGGGCAACTCTCCTCCAGGGGGGCTGCTGGTGAGGTGCTCATGGGGGGAGGCAAGGCTGGGGCACAGCATGTGTGCCCTCAGAGAGGGCTCCGAGCGCCGCCTCTGGCACACGTGCCATAGGTTCGCCACCACTGTTCTAGGGTAAAAGAGTATGCGTATAGTTCCAAAATAGCTTTTAATGAGGTTTCCAGAGAGTAAGCCATTTTTTCATTTATGGGTTACATCCACATAGTTACAATCTCTAGAGGATTGGTGCTATAGTATGACAGATATGTAAAATTGGAGTTCTTTGTTGAAATGGTGAAATGGACTGGCAAGGAACTCAGCAACAATTTCTTCCTGCAATTCACAGAGCATTCTATGTCACAGACTGTTGCAATTGGCTTAGATTATTTATATTAAACAAGTAATAGTAGAATGGCTATTTGCCATTAAAGTTATAGATAAATGGAATCTATGTGTCTAGTTTATTATTTTATAACATGCATTGCTATTAAATTAAATGGCTTCAATAAAACTAATCTGCAATGTAAAAAAAAGAATAGAAATTGTATGGGGAAAAAAACAGAAGCATAGGGTATCTATCTCCATATGTAACAGAATAGATTATTATTTCACACACTTTTCCTTTCAAGATTGGATAGAGATAGAGGAAATAAGTGGGAATGTATGCCTTCTGGAACGCTTAGATTCTTGCTTCTCTGTAGGTGACCTTCTCATCATTATGGCCCAAGTTATTGTGGCCATTCAGATGGTGTTGGAGGAGAAGTTTATCTACAAGCACAATGTTCACCCTCTGCAGGCTGTTGGCACTGAAGGTATGTAAGCAATCTTGGAATGTTCTCAGATGGAGGTCAGGGTTCACGTGGATCAAGAGTTACCATCTGTGACAAAATGGAAAGATGATTTATAAATAATTTGCTGCTACAGCTGAGTACTATGTTCTTTGAAGATCATCATGAACAGCAGTAAATTATTGGCTGAAAGAATATCCCCCAAAAGATTGTTTCTATTTCCTCAGTGTACAAGGCATGGCATAATTCTAAAGTTCCTAAATTTTGCTCCTTTCTTGCTTGGGGAAAAATATCCCCTTTTTTTAGCAGTCACTTTTCTTGAGGTTTTATAACGGCTGCCAAGGCTATGTCCAGACAGCAAAGCTGAGGATTGTGAGGGTAATAGACTCAACATATCTAGAAACTGGCAGGTTGAGAAGGCAGCTTTGTAACTACTGGAACTATTTTACATTGAATGTCTCCTGGAGATTCAGCAGGTAGCAGTATCTGACCAATCTTGCCTGGGCTTGGAAGTCAAGTAAGATACTGGTGGGAGACTAGCAAGAATGTCCAGAGGTATATTGAAATTGGGACATAAGAAAAACATCCTGAAGGAGGCAGTGGAAAGCAGTGTTTTTACTCTTGCCAAGGCTATGTCAGTGTGATCACTAGGACTTGAGCACAACTCAAAGCTGTCTTTACCTTTTTGATAGGACCAGTTGGAGGAGATTGGCTTATAATCCTCCTGGGTTTCAATCATCTTCATTTCTTCTTCCTCCTTAACAGGTTTCTTTGGGTTCATCATACTCTCCATCATCCTGGTGCCCATGTACTTCATACCTGGGGGCAGTTTCAGCGGTAGCCCACGGCAGGTACTGGAAGATGCTATAGATGCCTTCTGTCAGATTGGCCATCTGCCGCTTATTGCTGTAGCCCTGCTGGGCAATATCAGCAGCATTGCCTTCTTCAACTTTGCTGGTATCAGTGTCACGAAAGAGATCAGCGCCACCACCCGGATGGTACTTGATAGCCTGCGCACCATTGTCATCTGGGTTGTCAGCCTGGCCATTGGCTGGGAGTCCTTTCATGGACTGCAGATCCTGGGTTTCCTCATCCTTCTTGTTGGAGCTGCCCTTTATAATGGACTGCACCAGCCCCTCCTTGCTCTCCTGCCCTGGAGGTGGCCACCAGCAGGGGTTGCAGCGAGAGATATTGATAGAGAAGGTCTCATTGCCACAGATGAGCTTTCCATTAATGGAGATAGTTGATGGCAGTGGAACTCTTACTTCTGCACCACAACTTTGGACCTTTTATTGAATGAATTTGGCCTGTATTGCTGGGAGATCGGGCTAAAAACAGCCAACTGGTTTTAAGATCTGCTTTGTAACTCTGGGGATGCTTTGCTTAACTTTAAACATCTGGATGTTTCTCCATTATTTCATTCTTCTGCCCTTTACTGAAGGAAGCAGAGGGAGTTTTTATCCTTTCTTTAGCAACCACAGAGTAGAGGTCTGCTGCTGCTAAGCAGCCCTCAAGTGGTTATGGGCTCTCTCCTGGGGTTGCTTGGAAGCCATCTAAAGCCTTGCTCCATCTTTCTTCATCAGCATTTTGGGATGGGGACTGTGGACGTAATTGGAAAGATTTCCTGGAAACCTAGTTCCTAAGCTGTACCATCTGCATTGTGGGTGTCTGTCACTTCATTGTTTTGCTTGTCCCCAGTAATCCAACCTGCATAAAGGATACTCTCATGCTTCTGCCAAGTAGAATCTTGTCTACTCTAAAAAGACGAGTACAAGTGACTTATCTTTTCCTGAAATGCAATTTTCATAATTTCTCATTCTCACTACTTTGCAGGATCCAATCTGAGTTGTCACTAGAGGTTTAGTCTTCCAAACTTTCAGACTCTGGCTGGAGCCCATTCTGAGAATTTTCCTGAGGATGGGTTCCAGTACAAGTCTAAAAGCTTGGAAGATTAAACCTCTAGTCCTGGTGACCAACTCAGATTGGATCCTGCAACATTATCCTGGGATGCATATATTTGCCTCGCACTGTTTTCTCCAAAGTGGCCTTCCCCAACCTGCATCTTTGCCTACATTGGCCATATGGCATGGAAATGAGGGGCAACTCAACATATACAAGAGGGAACAGCAAACTGGGAAAGGTTTCCTTAATCTGCCCATATACCTTGCCTTTTTCTTGATCCTTTAAGCAAGAGTTGCTCTGATGAGGTCTAATGAAGTGCTTTCTGTTTCCTTCTTGTCATGTGAGAAGTTTATTGCTGACCTGGGTCAAAGCTGGCTTGCAATAAAGCTGTTATTTGAGTAGTAAGATACAAGCTGCTTTATTGAGCAGTCTCAGGTCAAGGGCATGGGATGCAACAGTTTATAGTCAGTAATTACATTCTAGCATTTTTTGCCCCATGATACACAGGATCTGGGATTTAGTGAAGCTGTTCAGGCTGCTAAAGAGAATAGCTGGTCCTGGATCATGCAGTTATACACATTTTGAAAAGAGGGAGCTTACGAGTTACTTATATGTGGAGGGTTTTTTTGTTTTTGTTTCTGTTTTGCTATTTATACTGAAAAGGCCTAGAGCTTAAAGGCCAAGTGCCAAGTATTTTTTTTCTGAAACAGGCTGGGCAGTTGGCACAGTTGATGTACTCTTTTGATGTCTGTTTACTTATCTACCATGTCTGAGCAGCAAAAAGGAAATAGGGACTTTCAGGAAAATAGTGACTCATTTCTAGACTCTTGCTTTTTCCAAAGACGCTACTGCCTTCCCGTCTAAAAGAAAGCCCATGGTAGAGCAGGCCTCCTGATAAGCTGTGGCCTGTTGATGGGTTTTAGGACTGCACAGAAGGTGTCTTCTTTTGAAAGACATCCTAAGTACCTAAGATCAATTGTCCAGGTATCAGCAGCCTTCTTTCCTTGATAGCTTCCTTAAGTGCTGAGCAGATCTTGCCCTTGTGCCCTTGGTAGCTGATGACGCTGTTGGGTGATACTTGGTTGGGACATGGAATGAAGATAATAGTTGGGTTTCTCCTGGTTGGGAGATATTAACAAGAATACAGTTTTGTAATCAATAAAATACTTTCTGATTTGAAGTCCTTTTATGTCTGCTAATTTGACATTTATTTTTATGTGGGGCTTTAAAATGTTTTATCAGCATAGCCGTCCTGAGGTCTCTACAGGAATGGCTGGGGATGGGAATCAATAGGCATCGGACATCAGTAATCAAATGGCAATACATGAACATATTCAGATGCAGTAGGGTCTGGATGTAAGCCAGCGGATTGTTTAGTTATTTTTTTAAAAAGGTTCAAATCCTTCATGATGTAAAAAAAAAGATTTTTCATGAGTTACACTTATTGGCAGTCTTATTTATGTCTTACTTCCTCCTCTTTAAAATTCAAACTGGAGGGACTTCTGGTTTGCATCATGGCATTGCAGCTGAAGGAAAGTGGGGCTTCGCTTCCCACAGGTGATTTTGCCCTGCCAGGACAAAGAGTAAAAACACAGGTACATGTACCATTTAGCCCAGCTGCAAAGATGGCCATTCATTTTAGAGGGAAATATTAATGTTGGCGCCTATCTGATATGTTAAAGATACTTAAATAGGAAGATAGTATGCTGCAAAACAAAATGCCAGTGACAGTATAATTCTAGTTTACTATAACTTCTCTATTTCACAAAGAGCACATAAGCATTGTTGGAAAACTGTGGGTGACTGCAACTAGTGCTTTGTACAAATATGTGCATATTTTCTTTATGTGTTGCATGAATCATTCATGGGTCTGGCAATCTTTTAATATAGAAGGGGTCTCTAATGTGAAACAAGTATTGGTCCTTTTTTTCCTGAGTTTTAAGATATATACTACAGCTTAGAGAAGCTTTTCACTTCAAATTGATAGCAGAGTTCAGTAATGCTAGATTGTGGTGCCAAGGCAGAAAAAGAAGGCTTAGAAACCTTGCCTTAGCCACCCAGAATCTCTATTTTGGAAGGAAGAATCATTTCTGACCTTTTACAATAGAGCAGGGAAAGCAGGGTGATTTCCAGAAACGTGGGAGAGATTCTTAAAAAGAAGTGGCATTTATATTTCTATTTCCTGTTATTCTTTCTTTTTATAAACTGGTGCCTTGAGCTTATTTGCCAAAAGGCTTCATTTCTTTAGAAGTAAACATTTTACTTTAGAAATATTTCTGCAGTGGTTGCTCGCAATAAAGAAAACATGTCTTTTTCTGGACTTTGGAGAGTAGTGGTCCAACCATCCATAAAGGGCAAAAGGTATAGAAGAAAATGTATACTAATTAATGTTTCTTTGGGAGGATCCTCCACAAAGATTGTATATTGTTATTTAATCCTACTGTCTCAGAATCTGGTGTTACACATTTTTAGGTCAATGCCCAAAGATAACATTCTATCCAAACATAAAGCCTAAAGCTGAGTGTTTGCGTACATATGAGATGCAATTCCCAAATAAACTTTATTATGACTTAATGATGACCTATAAGATAATAAGATTATCCTTCTCATCTTTTCTACTACCTTCTCTTATTGGTATCTTATGATTACATTACTTGGTTGTTTGAATGTTGAGAGTTTATGCACCAGAGACAAATTCCTTGTCAATCACACATGGCCAATAAAGTTATGCTATTCTATTCTATTCTATTCTATTCTATTCTATTCTATTCTATTCCTATTCCTATTCCCAGGGCTTTTTTTCTCATAGAACGCCCAGAACGGAGTTCCGGCACCTTTTTTGGATGGAATCTTATAGGGTAGGCAAGACGAGTTGTATGACATGTGTGAGTTCCGGCACCTTTTTTTTTTTTTTTTTTTTTTTTGAAAAAAAGCACTGCCTATTCCTATTCCATTCTATTCTAAGATTCTTCACAAAACAAGCAATATTCTGGACACTCTTGCCAATAGTTTTGTTTTGCCCCTGAGCATGTGTAGAGTTCTATTACCCAGGGATAAAACTCTATATATGCTCAGGGATGTTTATTCATACGGTGCAAGCCAGGGCAAGATGTGGGGTGTTGCAACATGATCTCAAGAGTCTGAAGGGCCTGTTGATCTGCAGAAGCCTCTGGGCAAGATGGTTTTCCTTTTCCACTCTAACAGAAGATGCCTCTATAGGTATCTTCAATACAAGTTGGCATTCTAAGGAAGGATAAATTACTAAATAATGAGAAAATGGCCTAAGTCAGGAGGAAAATCTAGGACAAGGGGAACTCAGCACAGAGAAAAAGAGACGGTATTCATTCAAGTCCCCTATGAACTCGACTCAACTGGATCCCAATCAGAAGCAGCAGGGAGTAGGATCTAGAAAGGCAAAATTAACCAGGTCCGGTTAGGAAGACAGAATGGAACCAGATTTTACACAAGTTAAAATCATCACTGCTTGGTAACTCTAGGAAGGACACATTCATTAATTCCAAGAGTCATTTTCTCCTATGAGATTCTTTGAAATCACAAGCAAATAGCTGTGATCAATGAAATGGCTAATTGACCCCAAGTGAGAGCAGGCTTATCTTGCAACTTTTCCTATGCCAAAAGGGATGTTTTCCTGATTTCAGTAGTGCAATGGAATCTGGGCAACGTCATTTGGGCTCAAAACCTATGCAGTGCCAGACCTGGTTAATATTTGGATAGAAGACTAGCAGAAAATCCCAATGCTATAATTTCCATTGATGATTAAAAAAGAATTGTGCAAGAAGGTAATGAAAAATCACTTCTGCGTTGTAGCTAAAATGACTCGGGAGTTGAGTGCAATTCAAAGAGGATTTGACTCAATTTCTCATTAATCTCTCTTTAATGTTGCTTCCCATATCCTAGCAATGAAAGCAAGACTGGAATGTGTCCTTTGAAGCATACACAAAATTTTCTGAGTTAAGAGTGCACTAATTTTCCTATTGCTGTTTTCCCATGTATGGAAAAAGGATTTTTCTTAAGCAAAATTATGACTTTGTGGGAGCTTAAAGCATAGAGAATTGGATCCAAACACCCCAGTTCCCTCTGAGAGTATTTGGGGGAGGGGGGGAGATGCTTCAACAGGTAATGTCGCTTTCCCTTTCAGGATATGTTGGAGCACAGCTCTCATCTACAGCCAACCTACAACTACTTTTGTTAAGGGGACTTTCCTGACACCTTGACAGCTGAAATGCCTTACAGTATGATGGGCTGAGTATTTTTCTTAGCTAACATTTGTGTCCTGCCTCTGTGAAGGCCACCATCTTTCTTCTGCCCCAGTGTCAAATACTATACTTGGAAATCAAGGAGGCATTCTGCACCCCAAAATAGATACAGGGCCATTCTGTAGTGCAGGGGTCCCCAACCTGTGGACTGCGGCCCACTACCGGGCCACGGCTGCTTGGCCACTGGGCCGTGTGAAGTCTCCCGAGCGTCCTGCCAGCGCCCACCAAGTGTTCTGCTGGTGCTAGCGCCGCCCTGCCCCCGAGCATCCCGCTGGCAGTAGCACCACCCCGAGCGTCCCGCTGGTGCTAGCGGTACATGAAACCACGCCCCTTCCAATCCGCAGGAAAAAAACACTCCACAGAACCAGTCTCTGGTGCTGTAGACCTCTGCTGTAATGGATAGTATAGTTAAGTAATTTCTGATTTTCATAGACTCTCTCTCTCTCTCCTGCCCCTCCCCTCCTTTGTGTGTACCCAGTTTCTACCTTCAAGTCAGTCAGATTCCTGCCAACTGCCTGGATTACTCCCTGCGGTTTTCTTGGCAAGATATTTTGGAAATGACTTGCTGTTGCCACCTGACTAGAGCTGAGTGTGTGGCTAGCCCAAAGTTACCGATTGCCATTATGTTAATGAGGCACTAGAACTCATGCTCTCCAGTTTCTAGCGTTGCCTTAACCACTATACCACACTGCTTGCCCTTTCATAGACCAGAGTTCACGTAAGGAGTTAACACAAAGTGGCCTTGGACTAAACCAGAGTATTTGCAGCAAGAGGATGGTATGAATTCAAGCTGCCCCTTGGCTTTAAAAAGCTCATCACCATCTTTACCCGCCACTTTCCAGCATCCTCTATTAGCTATGGATCATTGCATGGCAGGTAGTGTGATAACATCTTTTTATAGGTTTATGAACACTTGACTTGCAAATGAATTTTAATCCAGCAAGTTTCTCCGGTACACAATTCCTAAAACCCATTAGATTTATACTTCAGCAGACTATATCTTATTTCATCTATTGGGTGAGATGCTGTACTTCCTTCCTACATGACTGGAGGGAAAGAAATGAGAAATAGTAAATGCAGAAAATACAGGACAGTAGCATTTGAGTTGCTCACAATGTCCATGCCAGCTGACAATAAGCAGTATGATGCTGGGTGAGACAATTACCACCTCTAGTTAGGGCTTGCTGCAGACCCCTATGCATCCAACCATTCTTAGGGATATATGACAAGCACCCATTGGTGTTCCAGGAACAGATGAAACTGGAGTTCCCCAAGGCTCCCCCGAAATTACTGGAAGCATTCCTGCAGTCATGTGAGATTGTGCTAAAAAAAGACCTTAAAATGCTGCTGAGGTTTGAACTGCATGGCCATGAGTAAGCTTGTAGGTGTGATTTTGAAGGCAGTGCTAGGATAATTATCAAGGAGAAAGAAGAAATACAATGCTTTGCATTGTGTTGCAGTGTTTTTCTCTCAAGTGGCAATGGATAAGATGAGGAAGGGGATTAGCAGACAATGGGCTTTTGTCTCAGATATCCTGCCCAACCATTCACATGATTCACGCCTGGAACCCATTGCCCAGGGTGCATAAAACTTCTTTGGGGCATCATCCAGCCCTTCTCCCCCACTCCAAATCCCACTTCTTCTCTCACCCAGTCCACAGAGCTCTTTGTCAAGCATTGGGCCTAGAATCTTTTATTTCATTTTGTGCATCGGTAATGACCCAGCAGCAAAAATAGGGCAGGCAATACAGTGTAAGCTACAAAGGCGGACAGGTGGGGCTTGGTGGGTGAAGCTCCCTTGTGGCACTGTGAGAGCACTGAGACGGAAAGGCAGAGAGGCCAAAAGGGCTGTGGCTTCTCTCGCTCTCCCTTGTCATGGCCTGAGATCCAGAATGCAGGCGGGGTTATT